CCGGGGCTGGGTGCCGCCTTCATGGCTGCCGTGGGCGCCGCGCTGGTGGGCGCCCTGCGGGAGCGGCGTCGCCGTGACCCGGCGCTGCTCGCGGGAGCACGGGCGCAGCGAGGGACCGGGCCCAGTCCGTGCTGCGGAGCAGGGGCAGAGCTCAGCCTGGGAAAGGGCCACAGCTGGAGAGCCTGGGAGCAGCACTAGGGAGGCTGGAGGGAGTGCAGGGGAGGGATGAGACGTTTGGGCATTTTCTGTTGTTGCAAGATGCTTCTTTTTCACTGTTATTTTGCTCTCAGGTTCTCTTCTCTGCTCCCTAGCTATCTCTTGTTTGCAGAGCCTCCCAGCCTTGCTGCCAGAGGACTTATCTGCCCCAAGGCTGCTTGTTCACCCCTCACACTTGGTATTAAGTCATAGCATTGTTGTGGCTGGAAAAGACCTTCAAGATTATCACGTCCAGCTATAAGCCCAAGCAAGACTGTGCCAGTCGGGCACAGCCAGGAGCTCAGAGGAGGTTTCTGGCCCAGGTGGGAGCCCTGAACCCCAGGGCAGTGGCAGCAGAGCAGCAGCTTTGACCAAGGTCCAGACTTAACTAAGGTCTGGGCTGGAGGAACTGTCCTGGCCAAAACCCTTTGCTAACAGCACTCCCTACCTTCCCTAATGTGAGTCCCTAATATGAGCAGCAAAATTATCTTAGAACTTTTGGATGTCATGTGCGAGTGTGTTTAATACTCCTAAAAATGCGTGTGTGTTAAGGAAAGCCTTCTAAAAAGCTGTCAGGGACACCCTTGGTTCCTTATATGCAAAGGAAGTTGAAAATTTTAGTTCCTGTTTTTGCAAAGCTTGGGTAGCTTGTAGCATGTTTTAGCCACTTCTGTGCTCTTGCTTGGAAATGTGTCCAGGAAGGAGGGGAACACGTCTGAGTAATAAGCCATTGAAATCAATTTAAAACCTGAAAAAAAAAAAAAAAAAAAAAAAAAAAACCCTCATGGCCTTATTGTGCTTCTGAGCCTTAGTTGTACAAAGTGTAACTTTGGACTCTTAATCTATTAATATTTATCTTTTATTGCTCTGACTGATTTGTGACTGTTTTTCCTTCTGTGTTTTTCTGATCTGCACATCCCCACTAATCTGGTTTACCCTATGGAAAAGCATGGACTGGATGGGATTCTGAGTTTATTCTCAAAAAGAGGTAGTTGGAGGAAGAAATGAGACTAAATATCAAAGTTCAAGCCTTTACAATAGCTGCCTGTGATAACAGGTTGTCAACTCTGTATGCTGTTTCATTTCATCCTGTCCCATGAACTGGTAATTTTGGACTTTGAAAGTTTCTGTGGAGTCTTGTGTTAATGTGTAGTGTTTTGTTAAAGTGTTTCCTGAGGGCGTTTTTCACCTCTAGGTCAGAACTTTGTTTGGTTAGCAGTTCACAGAGCTGTGCTAAGCAGGTCGGCAAAGGAAGCAAAGAGCAGTGAGCTGCTGGGCAGCTGCTGCCCTTGCAGCACTTGTGCATGTGGTTTTCGAATCAGCTTCACACTTCCTCACACCACCAGTTTCTGACCCTGCGCTGGTTTCCACAGACCCCCTGCTCAGCTTCCTCTCTCGCTTTGCAAATGAGCAGCCCATGGTGAGAGCAGAGGGCTTCATCTTCCCCTTCACAGCCCGCTGCAGAGCCCCTGTTGGGTGCACTTCCCAGTATATCCCAGCCCACTCTCCTTCCTGCTTGTCCTCTGCCCCCAAGAGCCTGCCTGGGATCTCTGGCCTTGCCGAGTTGCAACAGAAATTGCATGTGATCCGTAACGGAGTCGCTCAGCAGCAGCACGTGGCTCCCGAGCCGCTCTGCGCCCTGCGCTGCCCTTGCCCCGCACCTTGGGTTGCTCGAGGCCAGGTCTCACCCTGGGGACGAAGGCTCTGTGGCTCGGAGCGCCGCTCGCAGCGCGGCCTGCGGCTGCCTTTCCTCTCCTTGGGCTTTTTGGGCAAAACCTGCGCTCTGAAAATAAACAGGGCTGCCAAAGGTTGGTTAGTGGTTAAACTGTAACAGGCTTGAAGTTAGTTAAAGATACAACTGTGCTGTGTCTCCTCCAGTGCTGTAGTGAAGATAGCAGAAGTTGCAAGCATCTAAGTTGCAAATAGTGTGATGTTTATGGCTTTCACTAAGAAAATAGCATGCATCTCTAATGAACATTACTGAGTGTAAGATGAAGGGCCTTCTGAGAGCTTGTTTGTATATTAGATGTTCACTATCTTTTTTTTTTTTAAACCTCAGACTGGCACAAAGTTGTGCTTAGAAGAGCTTTGGGGATATATATTTTATATATATGTATATCCACATATACACACACATACGCACACGTAATTCTGAAAACATAAGAATAGAATGGCTCCCCAAGATCTTTTTCTAAAACTTCAAGTGTAAAGCTTTAATGACCAGAATTCACCATTAGCACAGAGCTGTAGCTGCACAGAGTTGTCTCTTTCCACTGCAAAAGAGATTTTGAGCTGTGAACGATTTTAAGCTGTGAATGATTCCTACCTGTCATGCTCAAGTCTAACATGGCTGTGGGAAAACTTGTAATAATAATTCTTAAGTCAGTAACAGTTGGTTAGTGAGAGGAAGGGAGCAGTATCCAAATGACTAACTGGACTGTAGGAACTTCTTGAGCACCGTTGGTGTCAGCTCTGGTCTTGAGCACAAGTGTGAGTCCCCTAATTCTTAAGAAGCATCCTTTGTGTGGCTGATACCTTTTCTTTCACTTCTGACAACATTGATCTGTACTGTATATATTCACCTTTGAGTTACTACTACTGGTTCTGTGAACTCTGTGCTGTCTGGTGGGGCTGAGCAGATATTGCTGTGCAGGCACAGATACTGCTGTGGAGGCTTTGAGTTCTTGCAGTTGAGAAGTCTTAAATACGTCCTTACTGCTTGCTTGCAGATGCAGGTTTTTAGTGGGAAAAGGAACTTCATTAAAGCAGTGCTACAATGATAAACACTCATAAGGGCATTTATGATATTGTCTTGCAGAGTCGGCAGTGATTGTAAATATAGAGGAACAGTGCATCAAAACTTATTGTTGCAACTCGTGAATTATCACTTTAAGTGAAAGAAGTTTGCAAGTGCCTGAGCGTAGTGTCTGCTAGCACTTGCTGCCCAAGAAGAAGCATTCACTGCATATTGCACTGCAGAGCTACCTGCACACACTTGTTGACTAACTTACACTTGATGTTTTGGTTTTTAAAAGTGTACCAGAGAAGTTAATTAACTGAGCTTAATGACCTCGGTATTGAGAGAGATTTAATTCAAGGCCAGAGAGTGAAAAATTAGACATGGGTAGTTTGGGCTGGGTAGGGATTAACTGTTTAGTACTGTACCTCAGGGGAAGGTAAATGAGAAAAGAGCCTGCTTATGCACTGAGCTATTGCAGCTCCAGTGGGTTTTTTTTTCCCTTTTGGTGTGGGTGAGAATGTCCTAGGAAGTGTGGGATTGTGTTTGGGGGGTGGGTGGAATTTTAGATAGGCACATTGCCTGAGAAATGCGCTTTTAGTTTTGCTTTATGTTACAGTACAGATAATTCTTTAATTCATTTCCCTTATTCTTTCAGCTGTTTTTCAAGGTCATAATGCAGCAGAAAAATGAAAGAACAGAGAAGAAACCTGCTTTATAAAAGTCAGTTGCTTGCCTGGTCTAGAAGATGGACCCCTGGATTTTGGGAGCTCAGAAAATACCGCTTGCAAAAGTATTTCTTCCTAGCTAAGAAGAAAAGACAGTGTGCTCAGCCAAATGTGAGTTTAAGTTGCAACAGATTGCACCTGAGACTGCAGTGTGGAAGGCAGGTACTTGAGCTGCAGAGCAGGTGGGATCCTGATGTGCTTCTAAATGCTGAAACTTATCAAAAACCTACTGTTGAATATAGCCCTTTCAGTGCAAAAATACAGAGGGCAAGAAGGTCCTGTCCCTGTGGTACAGCCAAAAGCCCATCTGCTGAAGCAGTAAAAAAGCCCTCAACAATGAATCCTTTCAGCGTGAAGATCCCTCGAACAAAGAATTAGAAACTGATGCTGTTCTCGATAGCGTCCGAGTCAATATCCATTATGTCTCCTGTAGTATGCTGCGTGGTGCTGGCTTACCTGTAATGAAAGATGGTTTTGTGTGTAATGGGAAAGAGAGAAATAATGGTGAGGGCAACACAGTCCTAGTAGTTTTAAACAACTGTAAAAGGAAATGCTGTTTCAAAGGGAGTGGAATGGAACTTGTGTCCCCTTGACAACTCTAAAGAGGTCCAAATTTAGCTATCATACTGTAAAAAAGAGATCTTTGTTTATGATGCATAAGAAACTTTCTATGGTTAGGTGTCGGTATAGAATTCTAAAAACCCCCAAACTTAGAGCAAGAGGCAGAACCTGCAAGTCAAGAAAAATCAAGCCAAGGCAGGTGGAGAAAGTTACAAGGGACCATCAAGAGACTCTCCAGCGGGATTTGGAAGGTGGATTGTGTAACTGGCCTTCCTACTGGAAATTTAAAAGTGACTGTCTTTGGAAGCAGTACAGCCCATCAGATATGGACGGTAACAAACCTAAATCTTTAGCCAAGGAGAATGAAATATGTGCGACTGAGATCTGCCGTACGCAGGATCTGTTACCGCGTGAGGAGCTGTGTTCCCAGGAGCCAGAATCTGGAGGGCAGGACAGCAGCGCTGATGCTGTCCGACCAGAACTGCACGATAGAGCTTCTCTGGAGGCAGAGACCTTGCACGAGGTGGAGACAGATGAGGCTCTGGCAGAGGATCTTTGCTCCGACCTTTTCATCTCTGTGACAGAAAAAGAAATCGCTCTTTCGAGTCAAGATGATGCAGAATGTAATCAGGTTATGAGTGTAGATGAAATGATACTGTTACAATCCTCCTTGCAGGATTCTCATGTGAATGATGATTTTGCAAATGGACCTTTATCCATGGAACTGTCAGAAAGTGAGGACAGCTCTAGCCAAATGGAAGTAGAGGGCTCTTTAAACCTGGATATATTTGGCGCAAAGTTACTAGATCACCCTTACTGTAAAAGTCCTCTTGAAGAGCCTTCGTCAGAAAGCACAGAGCTAAAATCAGGAACTCAGGAGGGAGGCAAAAGGAACAGTCAGAAATCTTCCCGGGTGGCTGATGAGCAGCTGACAACGTGGCTTTGTGGTATACCCCTTACACATCTTAGGGCTTCCAACAGATCCTGGAAACTGCTGAATGTGTCATCGAGTTTATGTGTTGATTTAATTCATTTATTAAAGTGGTTTCTCGTTGCGAGTTCTAAGAGGTGCTTAGTGTAACAGTTAATGAGCTGAGGCTGCAAAGAGGAGGCTTGTGTGAAGGAAGGCCAAATTAATGCTTAGCCAAAAAGCTGTTTTTGAGGGATTGTTGAATGGTATATGTGCTTATTTTTTAGATAATACCATGTAATTTAATTGGATGCTTTATGCTGGATTATTGATAGACATTTCAATTATCTTTGTGTATTTTCAAAAGATCATGTGGGGTTAAAACTTCCAGTTTTTTAAGTGGGTGAAAATTACTACTGTTAGCTTGGTTTTCAAAGTCCCTTAGTATTCTAATACCGTCTTACCTTCTGCTCTGTCCTGAACTGAAGCTAAGTCATGTAATTTCATTATCTCACGTTTTAATAGTCACATGCTGGTCAATTTATACTCATTTTTTCCTCTATGATTATTGATAAAGTAGATTTAAAATTTGTCTAATAAGGTCTAATTAAGAACAAAGGCAAGACTTGTCCTCCTGGAGCTTGTTTAGCAAAAGGCCGGGCTTTTTAGTCAGTGCTGGGCATGCATAATTTGATAGTCTCCAATATGAATGTGGTTAAAATTGTAATAATTGTCTTATGTGTATCAGGATACTTATATAAAGTAAGGATTATGTCATCTTGTACCCTTAATATAATATTCAAGGTTCTGATAACATCAGCTGTCTTTAGGGAAAGCTGGATTTATAGATTCCCACAAATCTGAAACTGGTGTCATCTGATTGAAAACAAAAAAATTCTTTGAGGTTTGACATGCTCTTTTTTCTTTTCTCTTCCTCCCTCCCCCATTCTTACCCCCTTTGTCCTTGCCTAGAACTCCTGCCTTTCCCTTCCCCTGGAATTTTATAGCTGATTCTCTAAAGCGTATTGTGAAAGAACAGTAAATTGGAGGCACAAGACCACTTAGCATTCCCTATGTATATATTTAAGTTAGTGTGAGGTAAATTGTTCTGTGGTTGGCTTTTCATCATCGAGTAAGGACCTGACACTGTAAGAAACTGAGAACGTGGGCTGCCAAGCAAGCGGGCTGCTTCTGCAGTGGAGTTTTAAAGTTCATCTAGCAGAAAAAAGGGATGTAGTCCTTGTTGCAACAGAGAACCAAGATTGCATCAGGGTGGCAAATGTTAAAGTTTCGGTGTCTGATAAGCCCTCGTGGTCCTGTGCATGGGAGGACTGAATTAACTTCTCTATATGTCTAGCAATATAGATATAGCAACCAGCAAATGCATTCAATTAACAGACTTCATGATTTTTCACTTCCTTCACTTTTCAGTGAATTCTTATCTGACTTTTGAAAATAGGTGTGAACAGTTTGCATTTCAGGATTCCCCTCTGAGGACTGTAGCTAGAGTAGGAAAAACGGATTGATGTCAGTACATCAGTGTTTCTGGCAGAAGCTAACAGTTTAATACAGTTGATGCTCACAGCATAGCCCTCGTGAGTTTTCTCAGCTGAGAGAAGGGCTAGAAAAGCATTTTGATGTTGCTGTGACTATGTACATGGGTCCTTACTTGTATGGGAATGTTAACTACACCCCAAAGTGGTATTACTAATCTGCAGAGTTCCTAAGACAGGTCAACATCTAGCTACATGTCTGCTAAAACTTCACTACTGTGTTTGTAACTCCAAGAATAATTCTTCTTGTGTATGCATGAATAACGAGCTTTTAAATTTTTATGTACTGAAAATCAGGTAGACTTCTAAGTCCCATGCCTTTTCCACCAAGACTTGTAACTAGAGTGTGAAATACCCTTCATGTCACTCTGCTTAGATGCAAGGGATAAAAGTTGTTAGGTAAGTGTGGCACTGAAGGGTATCTGCCAGTGACAGATGCTTCCTTGTTATATGATCTCGCTCTCGAGTCCTCCCTTCTTTCTGTCACATCCAGGTGTATTTCTTGCGATATCTTCACTGCTTTTCTTGTCTTGTTGGTCTCTTATTTATTTATTTTTTCCATTTCTGACTGATGTTTCCCTGGCGCTTTATTCTGTCAGATGTTTCCCCTGTCATCTTTCCATCTCTATCCTTGAAAGTTTCCAAGCAACGTCATTTAAGCCTTAATAAGCAGCGACCTGAACATTGCAATATCCAGTTATATTCTCTCCCATCATACACAGTGGATGAGAGAAGCACTGGAATTTGGGTTAGAACAATTTCTCTGGGCTCTGTTCTGGGATCCAGCTTTATTTCTGTATATAGAACACATGTTTTTTGTTGCATTCAAAAATTCAGTTTTGGAAAGTTGAGGAATTTGGCTTTTTTCATGTTTTCTTAAGTGTTGAAATCCTATTCTTCCACTGTTTCAGTCTCAATGCAGCTTTGGAGGCTTGGGTGGGATTTATGTCTCCTCTTGTCATCCATATAAAAATCAGTTTCATAGGGTGTGTGTTAAGCCTTCCGGATTTCATCTCTTCATTCCTTTCCAGTTAGTATCTTTGGTGTTTTGTTGGTCCAGTGCTTTCCCAGTGAATGGCAGGCTGGTCTGCCTGGCCATCCCGCCTCCAACTTCGTCCCTGCAATATTAGGATGAAGGAAAGAAGCTAGCTGAGAGCCTAGTCTGTTTTCCATTTGCTGTGGTAGCAAGTGAGGAGCTGAAGAGACTGTGGACACTGACTGGATATTTGCATTTGAAGAGGGCAAATTGTGTCCTGTAAGGATAAGATTTGGGACTCTCAATGAAAACTGTTGCAGAAGGTGATGGTCTTCCATGAAGCAACAGAGTGACTTTACAGGCTAGTTGAAATAGGCAGTGGGATGGATCCTCGTCTCGGTACTGATTTAGTTAGTTTGATGTAGAAATCTGTATATGGCAAGAAAGGGGGCTGATTTTTTCCTGTAAGGCCGAATGATCAGATTCCTGGCTTCCTGGTCTTGTCCCTCCTACCTTTTATTTAAGTGGCAGAGGGGAAACTCCACTTAACTCCTCTTTTTTTATTTAATATTTATATTAACTAGGATGATTAAGGGAATGGAGCATCTCTCGTATGAAGAGAGGCTGAGCGAGCTGGGTCTGTTTTCTCTGGAGAAGAGACGGCTCAGAGGGGATATGATTAATATGTATAAGTTCAGGAAGGGAGAATGCAGGGAGGAAGGGGACAGGCTGTTCTCACTGGTGGCCAGCGATAGGACGAGGGGTAATGGCCACAAACTGAAGCAYAAGAAGTTCCGTCTCCAGGTGARGAGSAACTTCTTTACTGTTAGGGTGACAGAGCAGTGGAACAGGCTGCCCAGGGAGGTTGTGGAGTCTCCTGCTCTGGAGGTCTTCAAAACCCGCCTGGATGCTGCCCTGTGCCACATGCTCTAGGTGTGCCTGCTTGAGCAGGAAGGTTGGACTAGATGATCTGTAGAGGTCCCTTCCAACCTTAAATATTCTGAAATATTCTGAAATATTTGCCATGTGTAGTGCTGCCTGCTTGGTTATCAGATGCTTTGCTGATAGTACTTGCTAGAAATGACTGCTTGATTGGTTCAGTGAACTCAGAGGCTTTTTTATTTTACATGTTTGCACTTTTTCTTTCTGGTATATTTAAAGGATTCCTAGACGAAGTTATGAAGAAATATGGCAGTTTAGTTCCACTCTGTGAAAAAGATGTCTTGGGAAGATTAAAAGAAGTCTTCAATGAAGATTTCTCCCATAGGTGTGTAGCAGTAACATTCTAGCCTTTGTAAAGGAAAAATTGCTCGCGTTGCTGATGTGCGCTCCGTCTGGAAGCCTTCCTGGAATATGAGTCCGTTTGGTGTGACCTTGATACTGATTGACTTCTTTCTACTGCTTCGATCCTCTTTTAGAAAACCTTTTATCACCAGGGAAATCATGAAGTATCGGGAAAAACATCCAAAATCCTCCACTTGCAATTTCCGGGTCTTCTATAATAAGCACATGCTAGATATGGATGATTTAGCCACACTGGAAGGCCAGAACTGGCTGAATGACCAGGTTAGCGATGGTTGGTGTTTTTGTCGTTCTTTACCCCTTTTTTAGCCCTTAATTGTTACTGTATCCGTACTCACCTACTGCTGCATCATACCTAGCAGCTCTGCTTTACAGTTGAGAAACAAGAGGAAGCTGTGAGGGGCAGGTGCAATAAAAGTGATTAGAGGTCTGGAGGACAGGAAGTATTACAAATAAATTGTTTCCTTTTTGAGAAAATGATGCACTATTTTAAGAAAATAATGGTTACCCATATGCATTAAAGTGTTCGTTCCCCCTCTCTGCCCTTAGCTTAATGTTAGAAAAGCAGGATACAGGAGCAGCAGAGGGAAGCAGCAGGCTGTGGCCCATAGCCAAGCAAGCAAGAAGGCTGCGGCGCCCAGGACATGCACTGCTAACCTAAATTGGATTAAAGTCTTTCAAATGAGGCAGCCTTCGAGCAGCAAGTTATACAGCCTCTCTCCTGGCAGGCTGTTAGGACTTCCAGAGTGCTTGTCCTCCAGACTGTAGCAAAAAGTTACTATAATCACTTATTACTGTTTATAGTGTGAAAAGTCCTACTTTTGTGGAAGCTTGTGAATTTTCGTCTTAAAATTTTATTCTGTACATATTCAAATATCTACTAACTCTTGCAGATAATTAACATGTATGGTGAACTCATAATGGATGCAGTCCCTGAAAAGGTGAGGGTTTTTATTTTTATGCAAATGTAACTAATGCAGGACTGACTGGGAAAGATGAAATACAGAATGTTTTGGATGGAAGTTCAAGATTTAGCTCAAAATGATGTGCCATGTGGTTTGATTACAGTATAAATGACAGCCTTTTTGCTGTCTGCAGCTCAAATTTTGTATCCTTACTGCACTAAAGTAGCTTCCAGGTCTGTTGCAGCTGTCGCTGGAGATGCCTGGGTTAGTGCTGCAGGTGTCTGCCTTGGTAGCCTGGTCTTACGGAACTGCCTTTGGAAGGCAGGTGCCCTGCTTTGCTCCCCCACCCTGCAGTCCCCTCTCCATTACGGTTTCTGCCTCCAACATACCTGCTTCTAAAACGTTTGTCCGTGCCCTGGTTCACAGTCCAATCTTGGAGGAAATTTCTCCTGACATTGGATTTCTGCAGTGATGGCAGGTCACGAATGGTGGCATCTAATCCATGCCCATGTGCTGCTCTCAGCCTGCCAGCTGTGGGGCAGGAACAGCAACAGCTCAAAGAGCTGCAGCTGCCTGGTCCGTGCATGTGAGCTAACAAGTAGCTGCTCTGCTCCTCAGCACTGTTGACTTTGCAGGACTTGATTGGTGTTTGTGCATCCTTAACAGAATGCTAACTGCTTTCACACTGCAGTGGCTCTATCTGTTGCTGGCACTACCAGGAAACTTAAAATATAAGTAAATAAATCCCCCCCACCTTCTGTGCCTTGCACTTGCAGCAGTGGCAATTATAAAGAACCATCTGCTTACAAGCAGAGCTGAACAATTTTCAGGTGAAACCACAAAGGAAGAACCAAGCCAAGCCATTTTTAGATCAGCTCTGCAGAGTGTGATGCTTAAAATATTTGAGCTCAGAAGAAAGAGCATTGCTGCTTTGATTGGTGTTGATGGTGATTCTTCATTAATATTCTGTGTACTTCCTGAGCAGGAGCTAGGGGGGAGGTATTGGAGATTGTATCTGTTTGCTTGTGCCTGCTTTTTTTATACTGCATAATTGAAATCCTCCTGGGAGATCTAGTGCTAGTGCCCCTGAATGTGGGTTTGAAGTCTGTTGGCAGAGCTAATGGGTGTTAGTCTGCCTTTTCAGATGTGAATTCTCTTAACTTTTTTCAAGTAATAACTCAGGCTTCTACCACCTCTGCTCTCACAGAATTATTAAAAACAGATGTTGCAGGCTTGCATTTGTATTAATCTGTTCCTGTAATTGCCAGAAGCTAAGCACGGGGGATAATAGTGTTAACCTGGAGCTAAATTTTTTTTTAATATAAGCCTACATTCTCTTGCCATAAATGCAGGTTTTTAGTTATTCTCAGAACAGATGTGGTAGAACTTAAAAATGCTTTTAACTAACAGAATATTGCTTCTGTCTGAAGTCTGGAGCTGGCTGTGACAGTTGAATACAAATGATCACGTTGGATTAAATCTCATACCTTTTTGATCAAAAAAAATTATTTTGAGTCTCACAGCTTCTCTGAACCGAAAGCAGAAGTTATTCCCCTGACTACTACCCCCCTTCCCCAGGCCAATGATCTCTTCCTTAACCTCCGGAAAAGAGAGGAAAGCTAAAGTTGCAGCTCCTTATCCTGGTGTTCTTCTCCCCAGCCTACCCTCAACAAAAGATTAGAGAGGATATGCCAGGAGATATGAAAGTGTAAATAGAAATGCTGCAGCGATTACATCCCATGCTATGGGGCACCAAGGCTGGCTCTATCTGTTCTCCAAAGAACAGCACAAGCTGGGGCTTGGTAAAGCATCGGTAGTGTTTTTTTTGTCCCTACTGGGGTTCTGTTTCTAAACCTGCATCAAATATTGCCTTATTAAAAGTTGTTTTGTATAAGTTATCCTTGGGGAGAGGGAATGATTATGCATGAAGATTTCTGTGCTTATTCCTCCTCTCTCTCTCTTTTTTTTAGGTTCATTTCTTTAACAGCTTTTTTCATAGACAGCTCGTAACCAAAGGATATAATGGGGTAAAACGATGGACTAAAAAGGTATCCTTTAACTCCGTGTGCTCTGATTCTTTTGGGCGGGTTGAACCATTTCCTTGGAATTGGGGACGATGTTCCATGCCAAGGATGGGGTTAAGAGCTGCACAAAAAGTGATGCTGCTCAAGATAGTGTGATTATGCCCTGGAAACGTGTTTTGGGAATAGCCCTGTCCTAGATGATGGGTTATCTTCTTGGATGTATTCATGCGATGTGTTTTAGATGCCAAAACTGTCTCTTGCTGCTCTTGACAGTGCCCAGTCCACTAGTCTATAGGAGATCAGGCTTAATCCTGCTTCCCCTTTATCTCAGACTGGAATCATTTGATAAAATCAAATTATTACTGCTGAGTTGACATGAACAGGTACTAGAGAGCAGAGATTAGCACAATAGTGCTAACTGTGAATAGATCAAACTGTTGTTTGTATGAGGACAAGGAGAAAATTCACCTTGTTTTCCAGAATTTATGCAGTATAAGCATGATTGTGATGGATGTGATACTTTACTGAGACAGCTGATACAAAGAGCACTTTTCCTGTGAATATTTGGCCTTTCTAATATGGGAGATGAGGCACCACTAATTCAGAATCACATCTGAATGTACGATCTTTTTGCAGAAGCACTTAAATAGCACACATCTGTGAAATGCTAGAGATGAACTCAATATCCAAATATAAAACCTATTCATATAATGTATTAAAATTTCTTTAAAGAGATGCGAAATCAAAGCATATTTTAATGGTGCTTATTACTGCTGGATTTTAAAAAAGAAAACCTGTTTTCTCTCATTTTGGAAAGCGGAGCCTGTGTTCATGTTGCTCCTGAGGAGTGTCCAGGTGCAGACAGGACAGTTATCTAAACTGCTGAGAAATCTCCCCTCTAAGCCCTACCCCTTGGGAGGATGCAGGTAGACTGCTGCCTCTCGCAGTATGCGATTAAGAGGAAGTTTAAACACGAGTATTTTATGAGGCTCTGTAAATGCATTGAGCTCTTTCGGGACAGAGCCTGGAGGATGTGTCCACGTGTCCTCGTGCACCTATGCGGTGTCAAACCTGCTGTTCCTACATGTCTGTTCTGGCGCTGTCTGGGTGCAGTCACTCCAGGCTGCCACAGTCTTTTCTCTACACCAGGTCTTAGTTAAGACACTTCCATCTTTTGGCTGCCTCTTTCCATTTTCTTCTGCTAAAGGTTTGCACCCCTGCAGCAAGCTCCAAGCCAGAGTCACAGGAGGCTCCCTGAGTTTAGTTTGGCCCTGCTGTTGCTGCACATCAGACTGCATCAGCGTAGTTCATTTGTCTTACTTGAGTTTTCTTGCTGCTGGCTGACATCTTCCTGCTTCTCCTGCTTGAGCATGATGGATTGCTGTGTGCTGAGTGTGCTGTAATCTGGGCAGGAAGCGGTTTCTGCAGGTGGGAGCAGCCGTAGTAGGTGCCTGTGACAGTCACCTGTGACAAAAACCTTCTGTTTCGTGTTGTTATTCAAAGAGAGTTGGCTTTTTGTTTGCTTTCTTTTTTTCTTGTGAATGGCCTATCTTGTACCAGTGCTGCAGCAATTATGCAGTGTTCAAATTTCATAGTGCTTAAAAAAGGCAGCACAGGAATCTTCCCTCAGAGGATTTCTACTCTTTCTGTGTCCTGTTCTGTACCACTGAAACCTCAGCAATTAGATCAGCCTAGGGAGATTGTGAGAAAGAAGATTATGGAAGGCCCTGGTTTATGATTGACTTCTGAGGTGTAACGGGGCTCATCTGCACAGATAGCAGGCATGTTGCCTTCCCTTCTTGTTCTGTGCTTCAAAACCTCCCTTCCAAGGGGAGATTTTCCATCACCTTCCAAGATTCAATTCAGCAAATCATGAATCTCTGCTGCCTTCACCCATCTCCCTTCCCTGGCTACCGAGGCATCTTATGGGGCTGCTCTGGCAGTGACGTGGCCTGTGTTAAGCAGAGGGAGTCAGAAAACTGCACCAACTCGCTGTGTTTGTGGGCTGTTCTTAATCACAACCGCTGAATCTGTCACTATGATGCAAATCTGATATGTCAGTCATGTTTATACTGCCAGGATGTCATTACAAAAGATAAGAGACTGACCAAGCTTGAGTCCGGGTTGTGTTATCAGCATTGCGTAACCCAAACCCCACTTCATCGCAGGCTTCCACGTGTGACATGAGCAGCCTTTGCTGCAGTTACAGTGGTCACTAAGTCCGGTCCTGTCCTGTGCTCCTTAGGTGGGCGCACAAACATACAGACATAGCTCTGTGTTTGTGCTGCTAATGAGCTATGGGAAACGTGAAGAATGTCTTGCAGTGGAGGGTGAAAAAGACGATTAGCTTAGGTGAAGGTGACTAGCTTAGGTGAAGACAGAAGCGACTTGTGTCATGTTTTCCTGCCTGTGGGATTGTTTCTAATGTGTGTTGTTGTTTTTGCCAGGTGGACTTTTTCAAAAAGGCTCTCTTGTTGATTCCTATTCACCTGGAAGTCCACTGGTCCCTCATTACTGTGAACATCCCCAACCGAATTATTTCATTTTATGATTCCCAAGGCATTCATTTTAAGTTTTGTGTAGAGGTAAGAGTGACAGCTGTCTGTAAAATTTCGACTGCTTTCTTAAAAATGAACAAAATCTCCATCAGTGAATCCTTAAAGTTAACATTCAGTGTGTTTTGCTGTTGTCCTGTCTTGTATGAAATGAGAATTAGCTTGCCCTGCCAAAGAGGAGTCTGATGCATGGACCTAGAGGGTTGTAGAGTGAATCACACCAGACCAGGGAGCTGAGGAGAGGTTGCCTATTGCCTAAGTAGCCTGGCCGTATAATTGGCACACGTTTTGTGGGCCGGGGTCTCAAAGCACAGTGACATAGGGAACATACTTGTTAAACAAGAGTAGAAGCAGCTTTAGAAACGTTAGTGGATTTCTGGGTTCAGGAAATTATAAATCTTGACCCTTTCTAAGGGAAGGTGCCTGGCCAAGAGAGCAGGACTGAAGAGGCTGTAGTGCTGCCCAATGTGTTTTACCTGTTACGGGGCTGGGATGCTACCACTTATTATAACCCAGCAACCTTTCAAAGCTGTTGCCTGAATATTGGAGTTAAAGCATCAGTTTTTCTGGTAAAGAGCAGTCAAGAAGCTTTTGCTGGGACTAGCAAGACATAATGACCCTCTTGCAAAGGCTAATTTTGTCAACTTAATTGCTTGCTGGATGCAGCTGCCCTCTGCTTTTATGTGTGTGCGGTTGTTGGTTTACAACAGAGTAGTAATTATTGTACCCAGGAGAGCTCACAGCTAGGACATCTGAATGGAGATACTTGTTCCCTGCTGCCATGTGCTGAAGCTTGTGTTGGAGTAGGAGCGAGTGGTCTAAGGCTGGCTGCCCTCTGAACCTCTTGCATGACCCAGGGCTCCCTCTTGTCCACACTAGAGCCTCTCCTGCAGGTTTGCAGTGTGGCCCATCCCATCCCTCTCTGGACAAGGGACTTGCCCTTATGGTCTCACAAACACGAGGCACTTGTTCCTACCCTTTCTGAGGATGAGGGGATCAAGATGCAGAACTCCCCTGTGGCACATAGAACTACAGTGAATCTGGGTGCGCTGGAATGTGTTTAACCTGTTCTCTTAAACACCAGCCTACTTAAAGAAAGGTAGAAAGATTTGGTTAACACTAGACCAGAGGTTCATTTACCTTCCGTCTCTTTTTCTTTTCACTTGTCAAATGTTTTTCCTGTATGTCACTGAAATGCTCCCGGGAGCGTTTCTGATGAGCTGCAGAATGCTAAGCTTTCTGTATGGAGGGTCGAGCTGAAAATGCTGTTACCTTGATGTAAGGGCCTCGGTGTCGGGTGAATGAGTCAGGAAAAAACGTGTGCTGGACCATGTAGTGTGTCTCGCACCCAAAAGCACAATTCCTCCATCTTAGTGGTACTTCTAGTGTAGTATTAAATATTGTAATAAATTAAGTAATAAATTAAGTGTACAGAGGGAATGAGAAGTGTTAAAGCTCCCTTGAAAGACCAGGGTGAGATTTGGTGGTAAAAGGTGCAGTACCCACAAGAGTTAGGTCCTTAGCCCTATATCTGAGCTCAGCTTCTTATACTTAACACTCACCCATCCATCTTTGTCCAATGGATGTCAAGGAAGATGTCACTGTTTTTCTCCTGTGCTTTATCTGGTGAATAATATTGTCCCTCTTTAATCTCCTTTTAAAGAACATTAGAAAGTATCTGCTGACTGAAGCAAAAGAGAAGAATCGCCCTGAGTTTCTTCAGGGTTGGCAGACTGCTGTGACAAAGGTAAGTGTCAGCACCTGAAGCCCTGCAGTTGAACCTTCTGGGGGACTTGGGGACACTGTTTCTGAACTGACATATTTTTGCAAGAAGGAAATAATTTTATCCTGACTATAGGGAGTGTGATAGGAGCTACACAAGTGGCTACCCAAGCTAATTAGTACTCTGCTCATTCAGCTCCCATCAGGTTTTTAATACTTTCTGTAAGTGACTTGGTGATCTGAGCCTAATCTCTAGTCAGTTAAATACCCATGCTGCAAAACCTGTAGCTGTTGCCTGTGTTGGCACAAGGTCAAGGGCTGAATGAGCTGGAAACTCAGCTTCCTGGCTTCTGCAGAAGGGACTGTCCCAAATCATGCAAAATGGGTGCCATTTGGTGAGGGAGCAAGCAGGCTAATGTTGTTACTGCCTGGATTTTGTATTCTCTGTGGATAGAGGGCTTTGGTCTTGCAGGCTTTGTGGCACATTTTGATCACAAGTAAACAAAGTCTGGCAGCAATAAAAAGGAACAACTTGTATGTAGTGCAAATGAGGGATTCTGTGATTTGCGTAACCCTCCCATAGTGGCTTCAAAGATATAAACAGGTCACTGCACACCAGCCACACTCCCAACAGCTGCCTACTTGCACAGCGTTATTTTTCAGTGCAATCGTGTGATACAGCGATTAAATGATACCGCTGCACACTCAGGCACACTTTGCATAGTCAGTTTGTCCTCTTCCATTCTGTCAAGTGGAAGATTTTGTGAGCTGTGCAAAATTACTTTTCCCCTTTGAGTGCTAGAGACATAGTAACACTAGTGAGGAGGGCTTTTTAGTGCTGCATATCAAAATTGAGCACATTTGAAGAAATTAAGGTTGAAAGTTACTGTTTGAGGTTGCCTCAGTCTTGCCAGCCCTCTCTTTGTGAGATCCTTTGGTGTGCCAGGAGCCAGGATGCTGGGAATAGTCGTCTAGGCCTGTGTGACTTTGCTGATATAGTTTGGTTCTGTGTAAAGCAGATAGTGCTGTACAAACATTTATTTAAACTAATTGAGCAGCTGTTCTGCATAGGTCGCCAAAAGAAAATAAACTTGAAAGAAAGATCTGTAATTTGTTTTCTGTCCTACATCATATATTTTTCTAAATGTTAGGTGTTACTAACAAGGTGCTGAGTGTCACCTTGCAAAATTGGGCTCGGAATAAGTAATTGTGACTGTGGTTTCTTGTGCTGCAGAACAAGTTAGCTCTGAGAACAAAGACCCCTAATCTTTTTGCAGGATCTCATCCTGGATATTTTAAATAGGACTTAGAAAATAAAAGGGCGGCTAAAAGTCTAACATGGTGCTCCGTGTTTCTTTCCCTTCTAGTGCATTCCACAACAGAAAAATGACAGTGACTGTGGGGTTTTTGTGCTCCAGGTAAGTGTACTTTGAAAAAGAAGAATTGAGTGGCCTGTATTGTTCAGCTTGTAAACTTATTTTTTTCAATCAAGCCTTTTCCTTTCCCTCAGTACTGCAAGTGCCTCGCCTTAGACCAGCCTTTTCAGTTCTCCCAGGAAGATATGCCCCGGGTGAGAAAAAGGATTTACAAGGAGCTGTGTGAACGCCAGCTAATAGACTAATGAAATACAGCCCACCAGTTTCTCTAGTATTCCTGACAAGCTGCAGCTGGGGTTGGTGTACTTGAATTTCTGGAAACTTCTGTGAGTTTTGAGCGACGCTCAGCTGAGTGGTGTGGCCACTGTTGTTACCTCAACTTCTTTTCTGACAAGCTCTTTACCTGGCAGAACGTAACAGAACTGCCACAAAAATATTTCTAACGTCTGTTTTGTTCTCTTATGTTCTTTCCTGTATTTAATATTTATTATCTAAGCATGCGTATAGGCAAAGCATGCAACTAAAACATAAAGCTGTAGATTTGGTGCACCTTTGAAACGTAGCTAGAAATGACAAATACAGGTGAATTTGTCTGGAAACATAAAGATGCATGATCTGTTTTCTGATGCAATAACGCTTTGAATGTATCAAACTCGATGCCATAAAAAGAACAGCTAGAAGCTATTTGATTATTCCATTTTTTCCCCCCATTGTGGCTGTATAATACTGAATTGTCACTCTTTTAGGGTGGTAAACTCATCTACAGATTTGATTTGTGGAGTCCCCTTTTTTAAATAGTTCAAGTTGCTAATAAAAAAATTGTTCTGTTTACATTTATCCAGCTGTCACTATCAGCCTGTCTCTATCTAGATGAAAAGCAGCCTTTGCACAAATAAAGCTTCAGCACTTGTCTGTATAATAAAAAGTACAGAGATGCTCGGCCAGTCTGATAATATATTCCCGTGTGCTGCAGAAGGTTCCGTGACATGTGTATTAAGGGCATTACAAAGCTGCTCCTGAAGTGTCAGTTCAGATGCCAAGATGAAACTGTTTAAATCTCAGATGGTTTTGAATCATTTTCAATTCCACGCCATTAATCAAAATGTTCCATTTCAGCATCTTTCAGTTCTGTCTTCAAATCAATTCTCTTACAGCTTGTTGTCTTTACCATTGGCTTTTGCCTTTGGTCAAATATAAATTGATTCATTTCTGCTGCGTCTGCCGTGTGATTGTCTGCAGCATCTCTGGTTTGTTTCTGTTCAGTCACAGGGATGGCTCTTGGGGCACAACAGCACTTGTGGCGGGTGCTGTGCAAACTCACCAAACCAACATCATTCCACTGCACAGGTAAAGGAGGACAGTGGATCTTGGTGCTGATTTGTGGCTCTCCTGGGTAAGCTGTGCTCTCCTTGTACCTGAAGAGAGCTCGTTTTGTTTGAAGGGACCGTTGTATAGGATGGCTACACCAACAAATGGCCTTAACCTTATTTCTCTGCCAGTTAAGGGGCTGAGCCCAGGGGAAGGTTATTTTTCAGTGCTAAATATCATTCATTGCATTGGTCCATCTAATGTCTGGCCATAGGCTTGACTTCTGGTGGAGGAAGCTCCCTTTTCTTCCCTCTGTCTTGTGAATGGATTCAGGCTTGCGCAAAGCTAGCTGCAAATCCCTCTTGGCCTGCTGGAGGGAGCAAGGAGAAAGGAGGGGGTGCCAAGTGCAGCCAGGCTAGGAAGGAAAGCAGGTGCACAAGGAGTTGTGCTGGAGAAGGGAAAATTTAAGCTTGGGACATGGTCTCTGAAGCACTAGGCTTAAGCATTTGAGTCAGTACTGTCTTTTTCTTATCCCCTTCTGCAAAGTGAACAGGTCCAAGATTCAAACTGAGCCAGCCAAAGCACTGCTCATATCTTAGTCCTGGCTCCGGTCTAGCTTGTCACTGTTTGTACCAGCACAAATGAAGAGGGAGAATGGGGTGGCCAGGATGATACATGAAAATCGTGCCAAGTTTGGATGTGTGAGTGAAGTTGTGTCCTCAAGCAAGGCTTGCTGTAGAGAAGGAATGAAATGTAGAAGGAAAGCTGCATAACCATGGGTTTGTTATTTCCTAGAATTAGGGAGTTTGGTAAGGAAGCACGGATGACTGCAAGCCTGGAGCCTCTCAGTGCCTCCAAGGAAGCCCATTATCTTTCATAGAAGGGGGGCATTGCTCTGGGCATTTATTCTTTGCAGGGGTGTGTTGGAGCATTGAACCACAGACAGTCCTTTCCTGAAACTTGCTGCCTTTGTGGTAGGGATCTGAATTTCCTCCTTCATGTGGGAAGCTGGGAGGAGTCTTAAATCTTGATGCTATACCAGTAACATCAGCAAAAAGGACAGTTTTTTTGTGAACTTCTTTAACAGTGTAGATTTAACAATGTAGATGCTTTGAAATTACTTCATATGTGTATCAGATCACTTGAGGGGAGGGCACCTTGCATTTAAATCTGCTGCACTCTGTGGGTTGGGGAACAGCATGGAGAAGGAGGCATGTTAAAAAGCATTCCCTGTTTGCTTGCTTGTCAGCTAGGAGGTCGCTAATAGGTGTTCCACTTGATTATGGGGCAGTGGAGAGAAGTTGCACTCGAGTATCCAGCTGTGAACACACCAGTGAGTGGCCTCTGGGGAGGGAAAAGAAAGGGGGAAATCGAAAACAGAGCTAATGTAGGTGACGCTTGTTGGTGCAGCGCTGCGCTTAATCAGAGGCAGTGCGGATCTTCCCCCCAGTAATGATGTATCCTATGAAACTGGACTAATTAACTCATCCTTGAGAATGTCTTTGATGCCTTAAAGGAGATGGACTCCATAATGTGTAGTCATTTGACTATTTCTTAAAGCATTCAGAACTATGTGGAGTGTTTTTATTATAGGAGGCATATTTATGTGGATGTAGTTACGGCTCTTAGCAAATCCATTAATGTGATATTCAGAAATTCATAAACACTGTAAACTGATTTGGCTAATGCTTAGATTTCATGACTTGTTCTGAAGGATTGTCTAGCCAGGCTGAATTATACAAATAGTCCCAGCACTAGTAAAGCCTCCATCTCGTGTGACGTATTTAAGCTACTTGAGCTCTAATAAACCTTAAACAAAATGGAAAATAAATTATGAGTTTCTATTTTGTTTGCTTTAATCTACAGTGTAAAATGACTGTGCAGCTGATATAAATCAAAGAAATGCAAAGCTTGGCCTTGATTCTGCAAGGTAGGTAACGTCTTAAGCCTTTAGACACTTTGCAGAATGGAGACTGGACTTTCATGCTACGCAGTGTACTGTTGCTCCATTGTTACCCGACCCTTTGGAGTGTAAAGGTAATATTTGGAATGTTTTTCTTGCCCTGATTAGCAGAGCTAGAGGGGCTTGCAGAGCGTCACTGGCTTGTGTTGAACCTCTAGCATAATGGTTAGCTTATCTCTCCTGCCTCTGAGTCCTGACTCATGTTCTCTACTGTAGCATTTGTTGAAGTTAATGTGAAAACTTAAACCTTGGGAAGTGACGTGGACATAGCTCCTCCAAGCAACAACTGTGTTTTGTGGGTCTATTCTTGAATCAAATGAAGCCCGTGTTCCCGTGGTAATAAACTGAGTAATAAAGCCGCGTTTCGCCATAAACCCTATATTTTTTTTTCCAGCAGTTTACTTTCTTTTTAATTTTAAAAGCTACTGATGTGATGGTTGAGGGAATGTTTATAGCTGCTTGTTTGGGGATCTGTCGTGAGGAGAAGGCTCTCTAGTTGATTAGTTCAATAACTCTGAACCATACGCTAACGCTGCCTTCTGTTCCCTAGCACTGCAGGGATATAACTTACTGCCGCTTGAGCTGTGACAACATACAAGGCTGGAGATGTCACACCTTGCATAAATAAGGGTGGAAATCCTGCCTTAGACACTGCCTACTAAGGTGGCATTTAGAAAAAGCACAGATGTCTCAACAGAACAGGTAGGACTTAAATTGCTTCTCTAGATGAAACTAAATTAATGCCCTTGCATTGCTTGTTAATTTAGTTATGTAATTATAGAGTTAAATCTTTGCTGAATTATACAAAGCTGTACAGCTTGTGAATTTGTGATAATAGGGGGACTGAAGGCTTAGGGTATGTCTCTTTAAGCTATTAATCATAAGACTAGCAACATCATTGCCTTTATTACATTCATAATTTAAAAATCTATCATGGAGGAGGAAACATGGTTGATTGTTAAATATATTCTTTCAGTAGGAAGTGCTAAGGAATCAGATCATTAAAATACAAAATCATAAGAGACACCAGAGCCTTGCCAGGAACAATAATTACTATTTATATGTAATAGGCATTGGGAGGGAAAGATGAGTTTGGTTTGCCTGTGCCTGAACTTAATGGATTCTATGAGTAACACGCTAGAAGGATTTGGGGATTGAATTTAGTTTTCTGAGCATGTAGTGTTCAACCTATAGAGCTAAAAATTCTTGCAAACTAAGTGAAGTATCTTGAAATAAAGTAATTTATTTTGTCTGCACACAAGCAAATAGAACATGTGCAAAGCAACTTCCGCTGGTGCCTGAAGTTCTGATGAACTCTTAATTTTTGTGTTAGATTTCAGCTATGATAGTAGCTCATCTCCCCTAACTTGGCGCCTTCTCCAGTTGCTTCTGAGGAGCCTCAGACATGAGCAGGCACTGAGGTTACCTGAGCCTCGCTATGCGGCAGCTCTGGGAGATGGCTGAGTGAAGGCATTGAAAATCCATTGGGAGATCTGCTCCTCCCTTTCCCTCTGGAGTTAAATGCATCAGAGGGGGAAGGGCAAGGGAAAAACTGCCCTTTAAATGAGACATAGTCAGCTGGATACCAAGGTTGAGTCATGTTGATTGTGTGTGGCTTGGTGCAGAGAAGGAGCTGTGTTATGGGAACCTTTGGGAGGGGGGATTGAGAAATCTGGAGAGGAAACTACAGCTGCGGGGACTCTGGCTCTGCCCCATCGGTAGCAAGTCTGGTTTCAGGCCCCTGGTTTTTGGATCAACTCGATGCAGGCAGCAAGTGCAGCTAAAGAAGAGACTGCCTGGGCTGAACTCAACGTTGCTTTAACGTGGTGATGGCCTGGCCCTGCCCTCAGCTTATCTGACAGCTTTGGGCCATGGCAGAGCACCCAGGTGTGCTCCTGCTTCCTACAAACCCGGAGGCTCTTCCAGAACACATTTTCAGTTGCTGATTTTTTGTTCTTAAAATGTACCTTTGGAGTGTTGTCGTTCAGAAAAGCTGTCTGTGGAAGGCTGCTTTGGGTTTGGCAGACCTAAGTGTCTCTGTTTCTCCCACACTTAGTCTGAGGAGGCAACCTTCAAGCACTGCTATTGAAGGGCAGTGAACAGGCTTCAGGGCAGACTTTTGGCAAGGTTTGGGGTTTTGCCCTCCAGCGGGTGACACATCAGTTGAACAGATTTCTTTATGTTGTGAAGTTAAACAGGAGGAAAAAAAAAATCTAGAAAACGCTTAAAGTTTCATGTTAATGAAACTCTATACCTTGCATTTATCACTGCTTAGGATTCATCTAGACATTTGGTTGTCCCTAGATAGCATGACCCAATCCTTAAAGGTGACCTGTATCTCCGCTGATAGCACCAGTGCATCTGGAATACAAGGTATTCTTAGGGAACCTTGGGATTCACTTCAAATAGTGATTATTTTTTTGGGGTTGTTCTGCAGGAATGTGCCTTATAACCTGAGCAGGCAGGTCCTAGGGCTGTAGTGTGTTGAGGGGGAGGGTGCGCGGGGTGTAGCAGCAGTCACGTTGTTCTCCCCGGAGTGCTTCTCTGACCAGCAGATGTCACGCAAACACCGCAGGAACAGCGCGTGCTCCGGGGCTGAGCCGGGAATCGGCCGAGCAGCGATGTCTCCTGATTGCTGTTGCCTGCCACGTTGGTAACTCTTCTAGCGTGTTTCTCAGGAAAATGTGCACCACACTTGGAAGAAGAATGTGTTTGTTCGCACACACGCACAGCCCCTTTTCACTGTCCATGAAGCCCGTCAAAGATAGAAGTGTTTGGCTCCAGCACGATTACTCTGGAGTCCCATCAATTTTACAAATTGACCAAAACATTTTTTTGGTCGAAAAGCCTCGCATACCAGGAGCCTTTAGCTTGATCAAACTGCTGCTGTACTCGAGAGCATGACTGTTATTTTTATAACTCTGTATTACCATGGCGAATGCTGGCAGGGGAAGAAGAGAAACCACATCAGTAGCAACTTCCATCTGATTTGCGGTCGTGTGCTTATAGCTTGACACGGCTTTGCAAATAGCTCAACAAAACCAGGAATTCGTCCGGGGGGGAAGGGGAGGACACAAAAATCCACTGCATCAGATATGTGGTGTGGAGAGTCTGACTCGCTCACAATTTGGATCTTTAAACGGAAAATGGCTGCGAGCAGGAGCGGGAACCCGCTGCCCTCAGTCAGGCCATGGGGCTGTGGGGTGGCTGAATGCTGTGACATCCTCTGGGCCTTGGGTTTTTAGGAATTCTGCTTTAATTCCTGGTGTCTGCTTGGGCTTTAGCCTAAAATTAGTAACAGTTTCAGTGCTGCCTTTTCTCTCTGTAATACCTTTATAAATTCCGGTATAATCTGATCTCTAATTTTAGTCTTGTGTCATTTCTGAGCTGAATATTCCTTAGCTTTCGAAAGCATTGAACAAAAATTTAAATTCAAGGACTACCAAAAGTGCTTTTTTTTTTTTTTCTGTAAATTATTCATTCGTTAAAATATCTTTGAAGTTGGTGGTGCAGCTGAGAAGTGGAGGGAGCAGCTGGTGGATGGACACCTGGATTGATAGACACTCAGATACCGGGTGTGAGCCCTCCTTGGCATCCTACTGCATTTGGTGTCCCACCCTTATTGCCCATCCTACAGAGGGCAAATCTATATGCAACGTGCCCTTCTGCTCTTGTTCACTAGGTGGCATTGCTTCCTAGTCCACAAACTTCAAAATACTTGATTAATTATGCTAATCCACTCAGTGGACAGAAAGCAAACTGCATTGCGATAGCTTTGCCCTTCTGTACTTCTTATTCTGCGTATCTAGTTCACTAATGGGATTTCTCAGCCTGGCAGAAATCTGCACTCTGCTTTTCCCAGACGTTGAGAAGTTCTAGGGAAGGCTTTGCTTTGGAAAATTGCAAAGAATGTGCTGGGGAAAACACTGCCCATACTGACCTTGCTGCTGGTAGCTCCTTCTAGTCCATGTCCCCAGATGTATTAGTTGACGTCCTCCATGAGTTATTCTAATACTCTCTGTTGAAGGAGGTGATAAAATTAAGCACTTGCTGTATCTAGTGCCTGAGGAGAGGGTAGGTGGTGAAGTCCTGCCTGCCTGGGAGCGGAACTAAGGGTGATGGTGTGCGGATACATTCAGGATCTGACAAAATACAGAGTCAGTGGAGGAGCAAGGCACTTGGAAGGCTAATGAGCTACTGCCCGTAACGTGGTGTTTTGATGGAGCTTTGCTCATTTGTTTCTCAGGTTGCTGTGTCATACTGCATTCCTCTCTATCTTTCCTCCCTCCTTCCACCTTCTCCTCTCTGCAGTAAGGGGCAGATCAACCAATTAAGGACTGAACCAAGGTGGATTTAACATGCCTGTCTGTTGCCCATGGGAGTTAATTGCAGTCTTTGGTAGGCTTTAAAATGAGGAGTGGAGTTCTCCAGGAGGAGTTCTCAGACCTGTTTTAGTACTAGGAGTACTTGCTTTGTCCAGGTGATGCATCAAGAAGGATGATGGCGAGGTCTCCAAAACCCTGTAGGTGCAGACAGGAATCTGCGAGGAAGCAGGAAGCCCCAAACCTGGTGGAGAGCAGGCCCTGCTCT